CCAAGCTCTTTCCACTCTGCTACACTGCATTTAACTTTGTCAAAACAGTTGACTCACTGAAAGCTTGAATATTCAGCAGCCTCGGCATGACATTGACCCATCAAAGTTATGACTGAAAAGATACTGATTTAACAAGACACTCTCACATGTTTATTTCAGTAACCCCTCTAACTACGTGGAAGGTGGGTATCATCCTCTCCATTTTGTAGAGGAAGAAACTAGAACATAGGACACACGTAACCTTTCCAGAACACTTAAACGACAGAGCTGGGCTTAAACTCGGCATATAAGTATCTCGAATTCTGATTTGCAATCTTTGGGCCCCCAACTATTGAATTGAAAGTTGTCATTTCTGCTTCAGTTGGTAGGCCACAGTATTTGCGGATTCCAGAATTATTATTGTGGGGTGATTCTATGATAACTAATGAAACAATGGTCATCAAATGAACCAGGAAACAAAATCCCAAGGCATTAAAGATTTACACAAAAGCAAGTGGTCTTTATTCAGTAAACCCCATTGCCATCGAGTCGATTCCGACTCACAGCGACCCTATAGGACAAAGTAAAGCTCCTCCATAGGGTTTCCAAGGAGCAACTGCTAGATTTGAACTGCCAGCCTTTTGGTTAGCAGCCTGAGCTCTTAACCAGTGTGCCACCAACCAAAAAAAAAAAAAAAACCAAACCCGTTGCCATCGAGCGGATTCCGACTCATAGCAACTCTGTACCAGGGCCCCTTTATTCAGTAAAGGCTGCATTAAATAAAATCCACATATCTATTAAATGAAAAACACCTTCTAAAGAAGCCAGATTACTTTCTCTGCAATACAGAATTATGAAAAGTAATTTTTTTTTTTAAATTAATGTTCAAGAAAAGCATCAGAGTTCTACCAGTGACAGAAAAATGACATTATGCTATAGGTAGGTCATCAAGCAAACTTACAACTCAACTTTCTCCAAGCGCTTAAACAGAGGTTCACCATCAAGTCTCTTCGCGGCCTTGGTAAAGACATTGGGAAGACTGAGGATTCATGTAAAGCCTAAGTTCTCATCTTTAGTGCTCTGACTTGTTTTACTTGTTGTATTATCTTGAAAATATGACACTGTTGTCATTCTAAGAAGCTATTTTGTCCCCTGATTTGGAAGAGAATTATATTCAACTCATTGCAGACAATGAGACAGATTCTTGTGGAGAGAGAGAGGAGAGAAGGCTAAAGTCAGGGATGTGGGTTGTTTCTCTGCCCCCCACTCCCCGTGCTGTGTAATTATCTGACAGTCCCTCCAAACTTACTTTCTAGGAAGTTTACCTACCCCCAAACACACTAATAGCACTACAGTTTGGACTAAAAGAAGAAGCACCTAAATACTGCTATCAGTGTGGCTTTGTGGAATGGAAGATTAGGTATATCCCACACCTGGGTTCAGGGCCACTACCAGTCACAGAGGTGTAGGGTAAGGACAGTTGTCATCTAAGAGTTGTCATCTTCAGTGTCAACATTGTCTCTCCTTTTTTGTGCCTGGTGCCTATGTGACGTGCGGTGGCTGCCCAGGTTACCCTTCCTTCAGCAGCCCACATATGAGTCTCTTTCCGTAGGCAGCAAGCTATGCTTAGAAATGTTTTTGCTACCCCTTATCAGAAATTACTTTCACTGGATCTTATTCTCTCAGGTTTAATTGTGTGTCTTCTCCAACTACAGTGTAAGGGACCTTCGTCTACTCTCTTCCCTGGTGGATCCTAAGCACCTGGAATAGGGTCTGGTACAGGGGATGAAAGAATAAACCAATCTATGTCATTATGTAGATAGCTACTAAAGGTTTACATCGGAGGTTTCAGAGAGATATGGCCAGCAGGAATGTCCTTTTTGTCCTACAGAGTGTTTGAAAACATTTGTTGAAAATTGCAACATTCACTTAAAAAATCTCTTTCTAGCTTCTCTTGAAAACGTGGGAGATCTGGTAACAATGACTGCCCTCTCTTGGATGGGTTACAGCCTTCCCACTACCCTACTACTCTCTGTTGGCTCTCCCACAATGAGACTGTGTCAGTTCCAGTACTGAGAAACCAGAAAGATAATTTTAGAACATAAGGATTCTTATCCTTGGCCCACAGTTACCTTGTTTGTTGGGGACGTTAGGTATGTGAGTTTGTGACTCCAGTCTTAAGACATTTTCTTTCTAGGTAATGTATTTACATTTGGCTTAGATCAATTCGAAGACTTAAAATGTATCATGCCATGGATGGAAATTTCACACACTGTGGCAGGAGAAATATTTTAGGCTGATAGAGTTTCCATATCACACCATGGAGGTGGCTACCTCTTCTATCTGTATATAGGCCCCTTGTTTAAGAAAAATTGAGATCTCTAGGTTCTTGAAGGTTCTTTTCTCCAAACTCTCAAAGGTTCTGCAGTATGCATTGCCTCTTAATACCTCTTTTTGCATATGGATGCTGCTTTTTTTTCCAGTTCACCGTATTCATAGAGCTATTGCAAAATCTTATGCTTCCTTCAGTTTGAGTTGGGTGTTTCTTGTCACTCCGTTCATGGGCAGTGATGGCTTGGCTGTAGTCCCCTTAGCATAGCATGGACATAGCCAGTTAGAAACCCTCTGGTGACAGAGAACGGCAGAGGTGCCCCAGAAAGATCACGCAGGCCTCAAAGAAATTTTTCTTCCTGTTTGGCTCTGCGTATAATTTAAAATCACTGGATGGAAACAAAGTGCTAGTTGACCTCATGTTTTATAACTGTGTCCTTCTGGAGAACTTGATAGCCTATGAGAGACATAGGTCACTTCTCTGTATCTGATTGGCTAAGTGCCAGGCTAATTCATAAACACTTCTGCTGGCAGAATGGGGAAAATCATATAAGAAAAGGTGGCCGAGTCTGTGACTTAGCTACATAAAATGATGTACTTATCAAAGCCAGTTAGTTTGGATGTAAGACGACCGTGTTCATTAGTTGCAATTGGCTGCACTTAGAGATAACAGTGTACGATTTTAGCCTCCATCTCCTTCAACTTCTGTTTATGTTTTAAATGTAAAGTTTTATGTTTAGGGAAGCTCAGATCTCTCCTTTTTAAGCAGACTATATGCAGCATATTCATTCTTAAACTGAAATAACTTATGGCACATGTGGGTACTTTCCCACATTGGAGGCTCCAGCAGAAAACAAGCCAGATGAGGTTGCCATCCCCTGGAACTTACGTCCAGTTGTTTGCAATAAACAGATGCGTGAACGATGAGCCCAGCAGATAGATGGATGCTGATTTAGAGATGTCAGGGAAGGGGAAGGAGCCCTGGTGGCACCACAGTTAAGCACTAGGCTGCGAACTGAAAGGCTCATGGTTCAAACCCATCGGCTCCAGGGGAGAAAAATCTGACGATCTGCATCCATAAAGATTATAGCCTGGGAAACTCTATGGAGCAGTTCTGCTCTGTCACATGGGGTCTCTGTGAATTGAAAGTCGACTGGATGGCACCTGAGCAACGATAGGGAGAGTGATATTTGAGCAGAGGCCTGAATGAAGTGAGAGAGCCAGCCATGCAGGGACAGTGGGTGGAGCGTTTCCGGAAGGGGGAACAGCAAGTGCAAAGAGCCGCCAATGCAGAGGATAACCCAGGAGAGACTCACCTGCCTAACACAGGTTTTAGGGCACAATTTCCATCTGTTCGCCTCTCCTCCATCACTCTGCTCCTGAACAGCTTCAGGGAAGTTAGTAACAACTTGAACCTTCTTATCCCTATAACTCTAACTGGGACACTTGCTCAGGCAACAGCAAGATGACCAGCGAGGCTGGATGGGAAGGAGCAGAGGGGAGGAGGAGTTGTCAGGCAGGAGCCGTGGGCCAGACTTGCAAGGCTTTCTAGGACTTAATGAAGAGTTCAGATTTTATGCCAAGGGTGATGGGAAGCTGTTTTGAAGGTTTCCAGCAGGGAAGTCACTTGATAAGGTTTGCATTTTAAAATCAGTGATGAAGATAAGGCAGAGGAGGTACTGATAATAGCTGTCATGTATTGAGCATGATATTGTGTGCTAATAATAATGATAATAATTACATGAGAGCAGTCACTGTGCTATTCTCATGTTTCAGATGAAGCCACTGCTAAGCTTCTGGTAATGAATAACTTGCCCGCAGTCACACAGCCAGTCAGTGGCAGAGCCAGGCTTAATAAAGTGATGATGTTTAAAAATCCTTTGATACCTTTCCATGGAGTGTCCCAACATAGACTCTAGATGTGTTTTTTTTTTTTTTTTCATTCATTTCACATCACTTAGACATAAACTAAAGGAATCTTCAGGTCAGATAAATTATGGTAGGACTTGGCTGTTTTTCCTGGACATTTTTATGATCTTATCATACTTAATAGTATCTCCTGATTAGAGAGAAGAATATGAAGTCTCCAGGTTAAATATTCTCTACAGCGCATGGGTTCTTCATCTGGAGATTCAGAATTGTATCTCAGTATCCTTGGTTTCCTTAATAATCGAGTGTTTTTTTTTTTTCAATGCATTTAGAAACATCATTCTAGGAAGGATTTCCTAAGCTTCCCCAGACTGCCAAAGGGCCGAGGGTATGGTGGCAGTACATGCGAGGATTCCTCTGAATTTGTTGGCATCTGAGCAGAACCGCCGAAATGCTAATGGGTTTATTATGCTGGGGTGAGGGGGAAAGGGCTGAGCACATGCCCAGGCTCACAGGGAAGCCAGCTGTAGCTGCAGGACCACATGTCCCAATAGCCCAGGATTGTTCCAATTTAAATGTTACTACCTTTCACTTTCAAAAGTGTCCCACCTGGAGCAATAAATTATACAGTCACCCATAGCTATTGCTGTTATCAGAAAGCCCAGTGGTACATGTAGCAAACTGAGAGCTATATCTAGGGCCTGTGGTCAATGTTGCCGACCCTGAATTCAGAGTTCTTGCAGCAATAAATGGATGTACTCAAAGCAAAAACTATAATGGAATAAGATGCTGTTTTGATAATAATTATTTTTCTTTCACAGCCAAAAAGGAGCATAAAATGGAAGAAAGTCACTTGGAGAATGCACAGAAGAGGTAAGCAGCCCTGTGGTCCCAGTTTTTCCTTTGAACAACAATTCTTGCGTTGGCCTCATGAATGATACCATCCTCTTGGGAGCTGGAATGGAGGCAGTGTAACGGGAGTCAGGGACATGTTTCTTCAGGAAGCAGGGAGCGCTTCAGAAGGGAGTCACCTGCCTTACACGCGGTTCACGCCACCATTTCCATCCGTTTGCCTCTTCTCCGTCACTCTGCTCCTGACAGCTTCGTGGAAGTTAGGAACAATTTGATCCTTCTTATCACTATAACTGTTGCTGTTTCCAGGTGCCATCCAGTCAATTTTGACTCATGGGGGTACCGTGTGACAGAGTAGAACTGCCTCATCGGGTTTTCTAGGCTGTAATCTTTACCGGAGCAGAGTGCCAGGTTTTTCTCTCATGGAGCTATTGGGTAGGCTCAAACCACCACCTTTCCCTTAAGCAGCTGAGCACTTGACCAAACCAAACTAGACTAAACCAATTATTGGAAACGTCTAAGAGACTTGTGTCTTTCCTCAGATCCTTGAGTATATTGTAAACAGGCAGGGATGGAGGTCAAAAGAGGGGTGGGAAGGGAGAGGAGGCTGACCAGTATTTATGGAAAACTCCCCCAGGAGCTGGAAGAGACCCGAGAGGTCCTCTGTTCAAGCTCTAATCTCACTTCAGGCCTCTTCCTCACTTTTCTTTCTCTCAGTGGACATCAGAGTGGAACCAACTACCCATCAGGAAGCAGTAATCACGGAGCCTGATCCCTTAGGGATTTGTGTATTTGTCAGTTGACCAGCATAGTCAATTTGGCAATAATCCCCCCTCTTAGAAGTGGGAGTGGGAATATGCCGAGGCATTCTCACTGCAGGGCAGAGAGCTGAGATTCATTTTGCTGGTGCCGATTCTAAAAGTACTAGAAAATTAAATCAGAAGTAGAGTGCGGAAATGGCATATAAGGAAAAATGTCCTTTACAGATACGTGGAGAGAGGGGTTACGATTTTAAATGCAAGTGAAAAAACCCTAGAAGTGAGCCGTTTTCCTCCTGCCATCAGGCTGTGTCCAGCCCCAATGTCTGACAGCTCTGAAGCCTGTAGAGAGGACTGTCTGCCCCTTGGACAGGGCCAGCATTGGGCCCAGCTTCCCATTGTAACTGCCAGTGGGAAAAAATCTTGAGGCAAATCTTGCAGCTTTCTACGTACAGACACCGTCTTGAATTATAACTGTCACCCTATCATGATAATCATTGAAAACCAAGATAATGACTTGGCTATGTTTTTTAGAATTGTGTGCCCTCTGATTGGTACAAACAGTTAACACACTCAGCCGCTAACCAAAGAGTTGGGGGCTTGAGTCTACCCGAAGTGCCTCGGAAGAAAGACCAGGCAGTCTGCTTCCAAAAAGTCAACCATTGAAAACCCTGTGGAGACAGTGCAACCCTGACACACATGGGGTCGCCGTGAGTCAGTTTCGACTCCACGGCAGCTGGTTATCCCCACGTTGAGCTGTCCTTCCTCAGTGGGTAAAACTAGTGTTTCTGTCATCTGGAAATATCCCACATAGAGAAGAGATCATCCACAAGGACTTAGTGGTATCAGGCCAGACAGAAATGCTGCTTCCAGGGAAGATGTCAAATTTCTAAGACTTTTTCAAGATTCTTGCGTAAGGAGAAGGGGGCCCACCTTCGAGGGGCTGCGGCTGCTGCTGTGCATTAGCCATGCTGAGGGGGGGTCATAAATTCTGGTGTCAGCATTTTCCGTGGCTTTGTGGTGAAGGTAGCCTAGCTTTCATGCCGTACATGAAATATGCTAGATCCCATCTTTAATGTAGAAACCACAGTTGTTTGGTTACACTCTTTAAGGAGGTTGGTGGTCAGTGTTGCAATATTCGTGTGAGATTTGGTAAATTCCTATTTTATTCTCAAGAGAAACAATTTACTCTGAGGCTAAGGAATATTTGCTTTTCCTAAGCAGTTTCTGAAGGCATGCACGTAAAACAATAAGTGGGTGCGTTCCCCGCTGGCATCCCAACACTGCAGAAGGAAAACGGCTCCCTTTGCTCTGGGATCTGTGATAGAATCATTGTCTGTGCTTTGAAAAGCCTTGGCCAAATTAAAGAGATACAAATCACACCAGGAATGATAGCAGAGAGAAAGGGAGTCCGGGAATAGTTTAGAGTGAAGTACAAAAAGTTGTCTAAACCAAAACATATGATTACAAACCCATCTTTTAAACGTTGAAAGCTATTTTAGAGTTATCCTCTGACGAATAGAAATCTCAAAAAGCGTGACTGCCTCTTTCTTTCCGGTCTATTGGAGAAAATCTGCCTGTTTGTTCAATATCAGCAATTTTCTGCCCCATGTTTCAGAAGATTTTCAGTGATTAGCCTTCTGTGAATCGAAACTGGATATGAAAGGAAGGGAATTTTGTTTGGGGGAGTACCATAGTCTAGACCTTATGAGATGGTTGGAGGTTCATAGTCTAGGTTTTGGCTTTTTCTTTAACAAAGGGATAGCACTGAAATCAAACAAGGCACATCCTTGGAGCAGCTTCGTCTTCACCCAGGCTGCAGCATGCAGAGCCAGGCCAGCCTCTGGGAATCTGTTTGCTTCAGTTCGTTTCTCTCAAGAGATTCACTTGCTTCCCTAGTTTCCAAAACACATAGGGAAAAAAATGCTGAAATTCAGTATTTCCTTTAGTCTTCACCCCACTTGGAGGGTTAGCAAGGAGGGCTTCACAAATCCCCATGGGGAGAGGCGGTGAGGGTACATGGTTAGCCTCATTGGGGAGCTGGGAAAAATAAGGCCCCCAGGAATGATGACATGCTTTTCTCAGACCCCGTGACAACCACCAACCAGTGCTGTCATTCTCTGTAACTACACCAGTATTTGCAACAGGTTGGAAATAACCCCAGGACTGTCGCGGTGATCCGCGAAACACAATGACTAGACTTTCTGTACTCTTTTCCTATCTCCTGCTGGAGAATAAGAAGATAATTTATTCCTCTGAATACAAAAAATGAATGACATGTTGGAATGTCAGATGTTTTGTTATGTATATGTTTACCACAATAAAGAAAAAAGAACTAACATGTATTATGCCCTGTTGATGGAACTATAAATTTCCTCCTATGGCAAAATAATAAAATCAGGCTGCAGAATATAACTATAGTAATTATCACTTTATGATGAATTTAATTATATATCAAATAAAAAATAGTGAATGACTTTCTCTCTTCTGTTAATGCACTAATAAAAATGTATCTGTATAGAAGGTGAACATAAAGAAGAGAAAAAATAATATGATGTGCTCTAGTGGGGTTAACATATGGTATGATACAGAGGATAATCGTGTCTAAAGTAGAACCTCCCCCCACCAAAAAAAATGACTGTTTTATTCCTTAACGCCTTGTTAGCAAGCATGAGCAAAAGAAGGACAGAGCAGAAATAACATGTCAGTGGCAATCAGGGGACCCGAGGTCTGGTCCCAGTTCTGCCAATGCATAAGGCCTTTCAGTCTTTCTAGGTCTTTGTTTTCTCATCTACAAAATGAAAAAATGGGAAGAGATGACCTGTAAGCCCCTTCCCAGTCTAAAATCCCGTGACTCAGAAACGTGTGGCCTGTTTCTATGGACTGAATAACTCTACTTATGTGTTTCTGGGTTACAAGCAATATAATTTTTGTATTTAATATAAATTTCATTCATATTGAATGAAATAAAGGTGTATGCTATAGAGTATACATTTGATTTTGACAGGATTTTGACTGCCACAGAATTAAGAGTCTTGTCTGGGTGAAAGTGGACAGCGAGTCTTTCTTCCATCACTGATTTTGCTCGAACAATCGAAACATGTATGTTTGGCATTATAAGAGGGTCCCTTAAGAGATTACTGCAGTTATTGCCTTTCTCCACTTATGCACTTCCAGTCTTTTAATAACTAGAAGCCAAAATTCCCTGACCAGTAGTTTTAATTTGCATTAAAAACAGATTTGTTATTTACAGAAGCACAAAGAATTTATGGGCCTGGGAGCTGCAGCTCCAGCTTGGATCTCGCCTAATCATAGCCATGGAATCAATTAACAGTTCATCTGTGAAATGTGATAAAATCTTATGAGATACATATTGCCCAATAACTGTGAATGAGATGAAAGTATGCTCCACAATAGTAACGGGGCTTCGGGGTTTTACAATCACCATTGACGAGAGCTCCATTAGAAACTCTGTATTCAGGATGGCCGCAAAACACTCTGTGTCTGAACAGATGATAGAGCATTAAGTCATAAACCTGGCCAGCCATTCCTGCTTTGATTAGTTTCCAACACCCTGGAAAAGGGGGCCGTTTGTTTAAGTGTTCTTGCTCATGGCAAATGAGCTTGTGAGGCTTGGGGTGGGTGGGGGCGAGCGGGAAAGATTGAGTTCAGAGCTATAAATTGCTGTAAAGCTAGTGCCTCCAAGAAGGGCTGTGTGGGAGGCCCGGGCAGTCTGGCGTGCAGTGCGCCTTCGTGGAGTAGATTGGGAGGTTCGTCCTATACTTGGGTAACTGCTTTGGAAAACCTGGGTTCTTTTCTGACTGGCTTGGAGATTTTTTTTTTTTTCAGGATCAGAGGTGGTCTTTGATCAAACTTTGCTATGCCCACAGTATATTATTGTATGTTGATGGTTTGTATTCTTGCATCATATCAAGCTCTAAGATGTGTTGTTGTTCATGGCCATCAAGTTGATTCTGACTCGTGATAACTCCATGTGTGCAGAGTAGAACTGCTCCATTGGGTTTTCACGGTGTGATTTTTCAGAAGCAGATCGCCAGGCCTGACTTCCGAGGGACCTCTGGGTGGGTTCTAAGCACCAACCTTTCAGCGAGTAGTCGAGCGGTTAACCGCTCAGGTGCCACCCAGGGACTCTTACCCCCTCCTTAAAGATCATATAGTCAGTCTCTTGTTTTACCCTTGAGAAAACTGAGAGTCAGAGATGCTGAGTGATCAAGCCTACAGAGTCGGCCTATGCCAGGGTAAAGAGAGAACACTGTCCTGATTTTTTCATAAAGCGTTCACCAGATTAATGATTCCCAGTGGGCTGTCTCACTGACCACTGCGAGTGCTACAAGATCAACATGTCATCAGTCTCACGTGAAACCGCTGAACATCAAGGGAAGAGCAGATAAACGACTTGGACTTGAGATGAGGACCACACTCAAAAGGTCTAACCTCCATACCCCTTGGAATTATACATGCTGCTTTTCAGACAGACAAAATATGCCAGGAATATCCTCAATCAAGTTACATTTCTTGGCAAACTGGTTTGGGCAAGTAGGTTTTCTGAGGCTTAGGATGAGCTACGGTAACTCTCGGCCTGGGCTCCTGTGTTAGAGAATAGACCTGCAGGAGAACTGCCTTCCCGTCCCCCCACTCAACCTAACGGGATTTGGCGTTGACAGTTTCTCACCCTTTACCTCACTCCCTTTTTTCCCTCCCCGTTGCAGTTTTGAAACGACGGTAGGATATTTTGGGATGAAGCCAAAGTCTGGTGAGAAGGAGATCACACCCAACTATGTGTTTATGGTGTGGTATGAGTTCTGCAGTGACTTCAAGACAATTTGGAAGCGGGAGAGTAAAAACATATCTAAAGAAAGGTAAGGTTCCAATAGAGTCTAGGAAACTGCCTTCTCAAAGCTAACAAATTGTGTTCCTGTATTTCCCAGGTGTCAATATTTTCTTTCTGACCAAGTGGACATCAAGAAAAGATGATTGCTTCGGTGTTCATAGGGAAATTCGGGGAAGGCTTGCTGTCCACACAGCAGTCATGCTCACGTGATCTGATAAGTTACACTTTCTTAACCCCTTCCAATTACTAGCTAGTAAATGAAAGGGGAGTTGTGCTAATTTGCAACAGATTGCTTCTCTGTGTATTTTCACGTTGGCCCAGTCTAAATGAGGTAGCCTTGCTGTCGCAGACAGTATGGACAAATAAAAGTGAACGCTTTTCCCATTAATATAGTCAACTTGCATCAAAGGGAAGTCCCTGAGACCGAGGCCACACTTAACCCAGTGCTGAAGCCGGCACTGGATTTACAGCGCCACTTCTGACTCCCCGTATCCTGCTGAGGACATCAAACTTCATGCCGCTCGGCCTCATTGCAGCCTTCTGATTTTATGAGTTGGGGGTCGAGGGAAAACCTGGGCTCCGAATATGAGGTGTGGGTGTAGGTATGGGTGTGTGTTCTCCTGAGAGAGACAGAGCTTAGCCCTGTTGATCAGAAGAAAAGCATTTCTGCTTGATCATTGTTTTGATCAAGTTGCCACTGTTCCATAAAGGGTGTCATGGATTTAAACTTCAAACAGATCTTGCCACTACTCCTGCAGAACAGATGTACGGGAATGTCACTCAGAGTGGAGTCGAAGGAGACAAAAAAACTCTACAAAGTACGGGAAACAGTTTATTGAAATATAGCATCTATATTTCACTAAACATTGAGACTTGGAATTTCAGAATGCCAGTATTTTTGTGCTTTATTTTGTAATCAGAGAAAAGGTAATATAAATAACATATGCACACACACACACACAAAATAAGAAGTTGTTTTTAAGGACATCAGAATTTAGAGATTTTGAGCCATTATTATTGAGTCTCTAAATATTTTCTCAGGGAATTAAGAAAAAAAAAAAAAACTTTCTTGCATTCCAAAGAAGTCAAAAAGATTTGAAGATGTTCATCAGCACATCTTCACACCATTATGCCCTTGGGAACACAGGAACTAAACTGAGCATATCTACTATGTCTGTAAACTGAGGCAGAGAAAAGTTAAGTGACCTTGGTAAGAAAATAGGTCGTTGATAACAATATGAAAAAGTCCTAAAGATCTTGACACTCAACTCCTTGCTCTTGCTCTGCAGTTACTTATCTAGCCCTTTAAAGTAAGCGAACGTAGGGTTCCGTGGAATAAACCCTGTGTTTTACGAGCCTCATACGAGAGTGGTAGAACCACGGTCCCTCTGCCCATCACAGCGGAGCCGCTGACCAGCCGGTTCTCCGTGTGCACATCCCACACTGGAAGCCCAGCAGTGGGCCCTGAACATGCAGCCTTTGCTTCAGAATTTCCACCTTAGGTTTTGAACACAGTCCTTAGGGAATTTGTCCTTGTAGTTGGAGCCCTAAAAATGGTTAAAAACAAAACCACACACACACACACACACACACACACACACACACAGCAGAGAGGGTAGTTTGTTGTTTTTCATTTTAATAATCTTCTCTTCAAATACTGAACTGTGTCCCAAACTAAGGAGCGCTTCCCTGTTAGAGATGTTGCTGCACACTGTGGGTCGACGGTGGCGGGTGGCAGTGATATCCCACTGTCCTTCCGAATGACATTTTCTCTGATCCCAGCGACAGACATTTGCGGCAGTGCTTCCTGGGTGCAGCTGATGAATTGCCTGCTTCACACTCTGTAAACCAACACCTTTAAAGGGTCGTGACTTCAGAGAGCCTTTTTCAGTTCCTCCCATTGAGCAGTTTCGGGGGTCTCTTCATTCCAGCCGTGCTTTGAGAGATGGATCACCAAGGTTTCCAACCTCAAACAGCATCTCTGAATGTTAGTGATGGCTAATCACATATTTTTGGAGGCAACTTCTTTAGAAAAATCTATTGGTTAAGAAATGTTAGCACCTTATATGTATTACTGCGTATGCAGTTAAACGTACTGATTAACATCCAGGGTTTTCTTGTGAAGTGAGGATTTTTTTTTTTAAATTGTACTCTTAGGATTTTAGCTTTTAGACCGTTAGAATCACATACTCATTGTGGCAAAAGAGGTAAATTAACTTCAACTCTTCTGTTAATAATTAAATGAGAAACAAGATGATTGCTTTTTTTAATACCTATTTAGTGACGTTCGATACTGTGATTTTAAGTTATGCTTTTCCTAGAAATCCAATAAATCCAAGCAACACTAAATATCTGGTGGTAACCTAACATCATTAACATGAATAGTACAAAGACATCCTAAAAATTTAAATCCACAAACAAATTGAAACATGATAGCTTATAATTACGAGAAAAGAAAACTATCGTTCTGGATCCCATTAGAAGAAATTCAACCCAATTGATTTTTAAATTTATTTGAAACCCAACTAAAAACCGCAAAAAATCATTGGGAAAAATTAAGGATTAATAATAGTATTTTCAAAGGAACAGATTCCATGACAAATGATGTTTTCTTTAAACTCTACTTCCAAATAAAATGGAAGTGTTGAAAACTAATTTAGGCCACTTGAGGCTCGTTTTAGGTGGTAGAAAATACTTACTTGTTTTTCTGCTTAGCATGGTTTCTGTGAATACACATCAGCTTAATGCAGAGTTGAGATGGATGTATCTCCATACAGGGTAGCAACTGCTCTGGAACATTCTCTAAACACAAGTATAACTGTATAAATCACCTTCAGTGTTCTTGTGCCATGTGACTGAATAATAAACCCTCTCATTAAGCTGGTGTCAGGCACACTTCTGTTTGAATAGGGGAGATGTATTTCACTGGGCATATGGCTTACTTGCAGATTACCATGTCAGTAGATGAGCAATCTACTATGTAATGATATATTACAGCATTACATTTCCCGTGGCATTTAAACCAATCTTAGGCAAAATAGTAAACTTCTGTGTCTAGGCACAGTTCCTGGGTGGTGCAAATGGTTAACACACTCAGCTGCTAACCAAAAGGTCGGAGGTTTGAGTCCACCCAGAGGCAATCAGAAGAAAGGCATGGTGGAGAGACCAGCCATTGAAAACCTGTGGAGCACAGTTCCATTTTGACACACGTGGGGTCACTATGAGTTAGAATCAGCTTGACGGCAACTGGTTTACTGGTATCTAGGCACAAATCCAGAATGCCCCCTCTTCTTAGGCCTTCAGTCTGTGACCTAGTCCTTGTGCTGCCCTTAGTTCCAGGACTCATTCCCCACCCCAGGGAAATATACCAGTCCCTTCTCTTATCCCTTCTGAGTACTCAGCAGTATTCAGTTGTGTAAAAAAATGACCTCTAGAGGTGGAAAATCAACACATTCAACCTTTACTCCACCATCAACGTGCTGTGCAACCTCGGGCAAGTCGCTTACTGCCTAAGAGACCCAGTGTCCAATCTGTAAACTGTGTGTGTTGGGATGAAGTAGAAACTAAGATCTCTTACAGCTCGAATTTTCTATGAATCTAGAAACTACCTTCTTAATATTCTGAGGAACTGTGTGTTTCATTTCTGAGATAATGCCCCTCACCTTTACTTCTGAGCTCATTAGAGATTCTATTGGAGGACATTGGAAGCCAAGGTTTGGCAGGTGAGTGAAGGAAGCATTTGGCGTCAGGGAGAATTCCCAGTGCCCTCTTGGATTTGGTAGATGTCTACAGCTACCTACCTCACTCCGCCAGTGCTTCCCGTAAAATACCAATGTTGGTCTTGAAGATCACGTCTTTTATTAAGAGTGCAAATACAAGATATATTGTCTTCTGCTTATCTATATCCAACATCACAATTATAGTTTATCATAGTTCATCAAGAGTTTTATCCTCAGAGGCAACTTTGCCTCCATTTTACTTTTTCCTGCACTTTTATATTTGTGTCTGTTGATATCCAAGCATACAGTGAATTTTGGATTTACACATTTCTTCCACCTATTTAATCTGCAAATTGTCAAAAATATGCATAAATGGAAAGGAGGTTACCTAATTTTTGCTGCTACCTTTATTGACTATTCGTTACTCATTTTCTGCCATTTTATTTTTGTGGCTCTTTAATTACTCTCAGATATAGGACCCTTCCTTATAAAATATTCCACGATTTAGGATATCTTAAGACTGCTCCCACACATGCCCCCACGTAGAGGCCACACACCACCACCACTGCAACCCACAAAACGGGCTGGGAATTTGCAAAAGGTAAAGAAGTTCCAGGCGAGTCCTGACCCCAGGAATAAAGTGCAGGTAAAGAATTCACCCTGAGCCAAAGCAGACTCTAAAAGGGCCATTTAAAGAACCCATAATGGATAAGTAATGAGTGAGTAAGGAGTGTGGTGAATTTTATGTGAAATACAGATAAGAAACTTCATTATATACCTAGGTATAATTTACACCATGAAGAAATGGATCACTGATTTAGAAAAACCAAGAAACCTCTCGGCCCTGTCTCCTCTGTAAACTATCGTTCCATCTCTTTCCTTTCCCCTCTAGCTTCCTGAAAGAAGAATTTCTATTCAGTTGCCCACTTCCTTTTCCTTCTACATGCTCACTCCTTCCTCTGTCAGTATGGGTAAGGCTTGACTGCTATAACAAAGACCAAAATAGTTCCTGCTTAAACTAGACAAAAGAATCATTTTTCTCTTGCATAGCAGTCTGAGTACAAGTTGTTTAAAGGTTGGGCACCCTTCTCTTGTGGCTGCCCTCCTTAAGGTGTGGTCCTTTTTACACAAGGTTGAAGGTGACTTAACTGACATCCACTACTACCACTACTGCTGACTTCCTCTTGCCAGTGGGGAGAGGAGAGTACACCCTTTGTCTTTTAAGTGCATGACCTGGAAGGTTCCACATCACTTCCACGCTTCCCCCATTGGGTTGAACTTAGTCTCATGGCCATATACAAAGGAGAGT